AAACCAAAAAAAAAAAAAGGAAACTGCCAAGTTCAAATCACAAATCATGTGACAAAAATCTGTAATCCAGGCTGGGTCCAAATGCCTGAACCTCCTGCTTCCTGAGTGTAGGGAATATTGGTGTGAAGCCACCATACCCACTTCAAGCAAACAAACTATAGTTTTTAGCTGGAGTTTAATTATCAAGTTTACCTTGAAATTATTTTCAGAAATAGTAATATAAAAGTTAAAAGCATTTTTTGAAGACTACTATCAAGCCACACTATTAACACACATTAAAAAGGGACATTTCTGCTTTTATTCTGTCACTTAATACAGGTAAATCTACTGATAAACACTGAAACCACCTACTACTACAACTGGAAAAAGGAGTTCCCATGAGTGATCAGAGCAGGAGAGCTCCTGTCCCCTAGCGTCAAAATAAGGTACTGCCTTAAAAACCAGCACAGAAATAGCTTTCTGCTTTTTTGTTTTTAAAAAACTAATCCTAACAGCACAGACACACTGGTGTGAAATATAATTTTCCTATTACACAACTTGAATTACCCAAGGTACACAACATTAACTTAACCTGTGTACTTTTACAATTAAAACAAAAGTTAAATAAAAACCACTTGCTCCATTAGCTGGCTTTACAATTATTTGTTAATAACGCTATGAAAATCTAAGTTTTATTTCTCTGTATTTCACGGTCACTAAACAAGCAGCCCTGGAAAACAGTGAGAGGCAAGGCTGGATCTCAACTTTCTCAGATCCTCTAAATTCTGGAAATCAGTGGCAAAAAAGAACAAAGGAAGAATATATAGGATAGTCAAATAAAAGCAAGGTAACTCAATGATGAATTTAAAATATAATTAAGTGGGCAGACTTTCCAATACATGCTTCATTAATGACAAGCTATAGGTAAACAATGTTGTCAGGGGCTGGGGAGGTGGTTCTGGACATGAATTTGAATCCCTGTAGTCTCTGCAAAAAAGCCTGACTAGTTAAGACATCTATCTAACCTCAGTGCTCCCATGGCAATGTGGGAGGGACAGAGAATGCCCAGCTCAAAGGCCAGCTAGACATAGTATGCAAGCATGCATATATACATACATAGCACAAAGTCTCAAACAAGGCAGAAGACAAGGGCTGACACCCAGGGTTGCCCTCTGGCCTCCATACTCACATACATACAAAAAGAAAATGACAGACAAATTAGCATGGCAGCTTGCAATGACAAAAAGTCACTTCTCAAAAGGAAACTAGTGGCTGGGGATGTGGCTGAGTTGGTAGAATGCTCACCTAGCATGCACATAATGTGCATGCAGGGTGGCACACACTTTTAATCTCATTTTGGGAGGTAGAGGCAGGAGGACCAGAAGTTCATGGTCATGGCTACATGCTGAGTTTCAGACCCAATCTCTAAACAGGTGGAGGCATTTATTACAATAACCAATGCTTAAATCCAAATTAACAATTTAAGATTTGTCAGCCGTTGTTGGCCCACGCCTTTGATTCCAGCACTCAGGATCCCGGGTCCTCATGCCTATGAGGAAAGCACTTTATGACTGTGCTATTTCCTCAGTCTCAGAACAACCATTGAGTCATATGTTCCAGCTTTAACCCAGAAAAACGTTGGTCTTTATGTCTTTTCAATTGCTGACATTCATTTTCTGATCAAAAGAACAGAATTAGCTATGGAAATGTGGGCGTTATTTGCCATTATTTGAATTTCTGGTAATTGAACCCAAAAGTTAGAAAAAAGATGATCCTTGCTTACTTGAATATAATTTCTGGCCTTTATCATAAAGGTCCAGAGATGTAAGAACGCTAGACTACAGCAACCTGGATTATCAACTCTGGTCCCTTGAGAAGAATGATTACTTCTTAAACTGTGAAAACACGATGTGACCAAACCTTAGCTTAATAAGGCACAGATGCTATCTCAAGGTTGAATTTGAAGTCCTATTTTCTCAGTTCCCAATGGTGTGAACCCAGACAAATTCTCTCACGTCAGACTGTTTCCTCGTCTACAAGACAGTGATAATGAACTATGGGTCACTCTTGTGTCAGGCTGTTAATATTAAATTAGGAAACGTGTATGAAACATTTACTCCGACCTTGGACATGTTATAAGCTCTCATTCTGTATTTCCCTGTTCTGGTTTTATAGACTACATAAGGATTCCTTATTCAAAAATACTTTTTAATCAAAGTGCCATACATAAGAGGTATTAAAATTCACACTTTAAGATCTTCAATAAAAACCTTGACATAGTATAAACCTATAGTCCTCTCTAGATGAAGGCAGGAGGGAGTTCAAGGTCATCCTCAGCTACAGCAGGAACCCAGCTATTAAATGTCTCTCTGTAACGCTGGTCCCTGTAGTGGAAGATCAGAAATCGGTTTAACTAAAAAGGCAAATGGCCTTTAATGGTCTAAAATGCTGAGCTCAACTCTACAGAGTCATTCACTCACAATGTGCTACTAACTATGGACCCACAGAGGACCAGATCCGGGATTTCGTAAGGGAGAGAGCATATGAAGAAATAACCACACACAACTATGACGAATTAGCAGCACTGGCACATCCCAGGTAAAGGAGAAGAATTACTATCAAGAGTGTACTAGAAACTGTTTGCATGTTGGATTTTGTACGATGAATGGCTTTATCAGCCCAGAGTTTAAAACGTCCAGTCTAGACTAAGGTGAAAAGTACATTAAAGCCAGGAACCCATATGAAAGTGTGCTCCACTCAGTTCTAAATTTCAACATCTTCAAATGCTGGCATGGAGCCCTTCAAAAGGCTGGTGGTGAGGGGGACTGGGTGGGTCACAAAGAAAGTGCCAGCTCTCTTCTGTTTGTGGAGGTTTTGGGGCAAGCCAGTTACACAGTCAGATATAAATTTTAGAAGCTTGAGACACAGAGAAGCAGGGGTAAGAGTCTGCAGGCAGAGATTACCATGGTAGTCCAAGAAAGAGGTGAAATTATGAGATTACCAACAAAGGCAAGAAAATCAAACCAGACTATGGCTGTCCCATGCACAGCTGATTACATTCTGACGTCCTCATTTCAGTTCTAACACACAACTGTCTTAGTAGAAATGAAGCCTGCAGCATGTCCCAGCTGCAGTTCCCGTCACCCGTGAATTAACACCCGCCGCTCTACTAAGGCACCCTACAAGCACGTACCCTGGAGACTTCCGAGACTACTTTCAGGCAGGACACATTCTTAGATCTTAGCAGAGCAGAAGCTGGGAGTGGTGGCCCATACCTTTCATCTTACCACTGAGAGGCAAAGACAGGCTGGCCTCAGAGAACATCCAGGTTACACCGCCCTGTCTCACACAACATAAAACAAAAACCCCGAAAGATGGAAACGACTTCTTGTTAGTATCCAAAGTCAGGTCTTCCAATCAATCCACCAGGGTCTCAATTTTGCTCCCTGAGTGCGCACTCCTTAAAGAAGCACCATGGGCTGCAATCTTGACAGCACTCTTACCCGATTCCACGGTCTCCTCCCCTTCCGGCAGAAGCCGGGCTTTCTTAGCATTCTGTGGGGCATCATCACCATTGTCCTCATAGATGTTCGACCATTTTATTGCCATGTCCAGCTCCGGCGGCGGCGGCTTCTTCTCAGTAGTGTAGGTCTCTGGGGGTGGCACATAGTTGGACTTCCAGACTTTGAATTCCTTTGGAGGCTGTTAAGTAAGCACATGAAGAGGCCCTGTGACGAACCGAGGTCCCCGCGATGGATACGAGCGCGCATGCACCTCCCTGCCGACTGCTCATCTTTCTGGCTGGCTTCTTTTTTTTTTTTTTTTTAAATCCTTTAGGCTTAAAAGACACCCTTTTATTTTTTTCTCCTTCTATCAACATCACAATACTGTTCAGTGAAAAGTCACAGGGCTCCCTGGATAAATAAAGCTAATAACTTTTAGTTACCAAAGAAGGATCCAGTCTCAGATACTACGGCCAGGCTGACCCCTCAGGCGGCTGCGGCAGACACTGTCTTGGCGGCAGCAGCGCAGGCACTTCGGCGTCAAAGGGAAGGGGTCTCGGGGAGAAGCTGCAGCGGGGGGCGGGGAGTCACCACCGTTAGTCGTCGCCCGGCTGGGGGCCCCGAGCGCGGAGGGGCGGGCCCGGGCTGACACCCCCCGGGGTCCCG